TTCTCTCTCTCTCTCTCCGACACACACGCACACACGAGGCCGCTGATAAAGCGACGCGAAATATAATTACTCAGCTTAACGTGTTGTAAGTGCGGATGATGGAACCGAATTAATTTGAAATCGTTTCTCTCGTTTCGCCGCGATTAATATTAATATTGTGCTTTTGCGCACATTATATTTGCGACCGCTTTGTGCGCGGTCCATTATTCGCAATAATTAATATCCATTTTTCTCGATGCGATTATTAAAAACAAACATTCCATCGATTATGCTTTCAAACGTGTGCGGAATGAGCCAGTTGAATGAAGCTGCACCGTATTCTTAAATTATGCAATAATTCTTATGTTAATAGGATCGGTATAATTTAACGTATCCGATACATCTCTTTTTCGCGAAATATATTCAGCTATTCGGGACGCACAGTTTTTCCGTTTTTTACATCGTTACAGCGACGAGCCCGAAGCATCGCGCGATTTAAATTTTCACCTCATATTCGATGACGCGGACACAGGTACGCGGGTACGCAATCACGCACTCGCGCAAAAGCCCGGTAACGAAGTACGCAGGTACATCGCCGAGCGAACGTTGCGCGCGATAGTTTCATTTTATAGTTAATCGCTCTTTATCGAGCCAGTCGGCCGCAGTTTCCGCGTAAATTATCGCTGTCATAAATTTATCCCCCCGGATCGGTAATTATCGGGCCGAGCCATCCGTCGGAACGGGCGCGAATTACGAGCCAATTCCACAATTGGCGTTTCGCTCTATATATCTCTATCTATTTCGCGCGCGCGGCGGATTATTGTTACCGGGGGGCGACTTCTCGACGATTTACTGCACGGTGACCTTCGTTTGAGCCGCGCGCACCACGCGACGATTAACAATTTCGGGCGTTTCGCGAATTTCCTATTACGCCGTCACGCTTATCCGCCGCGCGGATGATACGCAATTGCGGTAACTGCGAGTTGCCCGATAATAGCTGCGCGGCGGATTGAATCGCGCGGAACATGGCTGCATTGTTAACGCGAATTATAATTGCAGCGGGTCTCGTTGCATTTTCAATACTCCCCCCCTTCTCTCTCTCTCTCTCTCTCTCTTGATTTTTGGCGTGCGGCGTCCTCTTGTGCGTTTAATAGCGCAAATGCGAGCTACGAGGATCGCGTTAAAATCTCGATAATAATTAATGTTTGCGATCAAATGTTTCGAATGCAACGTAATTATGCGAGATTAACGCGATACGTTATAAGTTTGCTTTATAAATACTCTCGAAATGCATCAGGTTTGCTGATTTTTATTAATTTATCAATACAACGGGCTATGTTTGTTGTTGCGCACCATTTCTGTATATTTATTAAAAACGAAAAATATATTTTCTTCCTTTGTACACGCACTCCCCGCCGTTACACATTTATCCAAGAATTGATGCGGAATCGTTGACAAAGGGATAGACGCGATAAACGGGTAAATAAAGATTGCACTTGCAATTTTCATGATCAATGTCGAAATTGATATGTATCTGCGCGTGTCTAACGGGTGAACACAATTAAGCGTGCGTGCAGGTTACCGCGGGCGATTGCATTTCGCTCACGCGAAAGGTAAAATAAATGCTCATAGATTATAGATAAGTACAGTCCAGGCGCCAACATCATTTTCAGCTTTGAAAAGTATAATCGTGTCGAGGGAACTTGACTGTTGAAGTTATGCCTCTCTTATCAGCTATAAATATAACACTATTTGTTTATTTAAGAAAGATAAGATTAAAAAAAAACGAAACTAAACAAAAACGCGGCAAATTACATTTATTAGCAATTTGATAAAATATTCAGAGTATATAAAAAGCGAAACGACAACCGGAATAGATATTTAATTAATTTTGTAATTTGATTAAATGAATCAATATTTGTTTAAGCTAGATTCTTTCATTGAAGCGATAGTTTTATTTACATCGTTTCTCACTTTTTTTTCTGATAATTTTACCGTGATAATTTCCCCAAAAAAGTGATTTTTTCAATTAATTTCGCTTTTCGCAACCAAGTTATAAATTTGCCGTAAAAATGGCGGTCGTTTGCATGATCGCGCGACAATCCCGAGAAAGCTTCTCTCTCATAATTGCGCATTTGTCTTTGGACGCGATGTTAGTCCACGCTGATGATATTTCAGGTATAACGCGCAAGCACGCGCCTCTTTAGCTGGTGGCAATTGCCGCGTCCTCGTAAACGAGTCTACTTATCTCGGGGCTGATTTACCTCCCTCGCAGCACGTCGCCGCAACACTGCTTTTTGTTGGCGGGATGAGCAATGGCTCGAAACGGACGGGAACAGCTTGTTAATTAACTCAATTAAATTGTCAGATATTATTTTCGTTCCGCCATCTATCCGCGCCCCTCGCATCTCCGTAATATTTCCGTAATGGAGGGATGGGTCGTTATCCTCGAGCGTGTCGTAAATTAAAATAATCCGAGCGTACTTTGTTGTATAATTTTCGTCGCGATTCCGAATTCGCGACGCGCACCTGCTACGAGAGATAATTAGAGAGGTCTTCCGCGCAATGACGGACACTTATCGCGTTTCCGAAAACAATCGCACCAGATGCTCGGATCGTTCTCGATACAATAGGAGTAATTACGTGATTTCGCGGGAGCGAAACGGCAGGAAAGTGCCGGAAAAAGGGACGCGCAGGAAGGGACGGAAGAGGAAAAGCTGACACCCGGTTTCGAACGGCGCGGTTACGTGCTTTACGAGGACAAGCGGCTTAACCGACCCAGCCAGCTGACATAATTCATCCGGCGTAACATGGTGTCTCTCTTCTCCGTTACCGGCGTTCCAACGCACTTTGCGTGGGACCAGGAGAGGAAGTCTGCCTGCCCTTATTTATGGCATCGCCGGGAGCGGCTGTACATTCAGATTCGGTCGTCTCACCGCGAAATACGGAAAATGGCCTTTGCCAAAGCGCGGGAGAGTTACCGCATTATTTACGAGATGGAGAGACCCGGTTAGCGGGTAGTGCCAAAATCTGCGCAACCGTATTCATTCAGAGTTTATTTTCTCGATAGTCGCGCAAACTTAATTTCGGATTGCGGCGTGCTTTGCACGACGTACGTACATGACGCGTTTAAAAGTCCCACGTAACATAAAAATGCATTATTTACATGTTTCGCTCATTCATTAAATTCACGCAATTCTCGACAAATCTCGCAGTATAAATTCAGACTTATAAAGCTGATTAATATTATTATAATAAGCTTGTTTTGAGTCAAAAATTATACTTTATAATTAGTTTTATTATTGATTTGTCTCATTTTTCTACATTTTTTTTTATTTTTCAAAAATAATTTTGCATAATAGTCAAGAGGCAACGTTTGCATTAAAATAAGAGCGGAAGAATTAATTCTGAGATGGTCTAACTTGGGTCAAGCGAAAATATAAACTTTATTATTCGCAAACTCTTGCTTTATAGAGCGATCTCTCGTGAACAAATCGAATCCGGCACAAATTAGCGGCAGAGTAGGTTTACGAGAATCCGTCTTGTTGTCACGAGAAATAATTGCCGTGAGCATTCTCGAGGACGAAAGGGAGAGTTTCGTCTTTTCCCGTGGGGTTATAATGTCGGTGACGCCCGCGGTTATTAGTTTAGGAAGCTGCAAAGTACCCCGAAACAAAGTCTTTTCTCTTCGTCCCTTTGCTAGGTAATCAATATACAGACGACGATTCCCCTCTGCCTCGTTTCACCTTGTCAGTTTGGCTCGAGCCATCGGCGAGAATCTCTTTGCTTACTTGTTTCGTCCGTTCCAAGCGTTTAGAATAACCGGTAGAAGGAAAGAGAGAGACGACAGCCTGTATCTTTAGCTAATAAACCATCCCTTTCCTCCCGTTCTCTTTTTTACAGAGGGGCGGTTCACAAAATTATAATACGCCTACCTCGTGTTTCTCCCCTGAAACGCTCTTAGGCTTGATCGCTTTTCATCACGAAGCCGATTACGCGAATAGCATCGGATATCTTTTTTTGTCGACAATAATCTCGAATATCTTTTCTGTGGGATACCTGTCATTTAATACAGTTACAATTGAACAGTCTGTAATTACCAGAGAAAAAGTAACGCTCCAAGAGACACCTGATGATATTGAAGACCATTTTTAGAAATTAATTTATTTAAGGTATCGAGAGAAAAATATACACGCATTGAAATATGAGAAAATAAAGCGATAAAAGAGATGTGTCTTTTATAAATGTACAGAGAAATAATTACTATTTGTCCTATAGATTCTTGAAATATCACATATAAAGTATACATGCAATTTTTCTTGCATTGTTTTTTGCGGAATTTAATAAGTATGTTTATCGTAGCGTAACATCTGATGTGTTTCGAACTTTCCGGTATTTTTTGCAGATGTCTGGTGTGCATCTGCCCCGATTAAGTAGTTTAACCCGTAATTTATTCCATCGGTAGTGGTCGGATGCTCGCAATTTACGCTTTAAATTGAAATGTAGAATTATCTGGTGGTGCATTGGATTTCCGATTGAAGAGTTCAGAGCGAGAGTGGTGTGAGTTCGTAATTTGTGAGATCTACTTTAAATCTCTCAAGTATATAAAATTTTACAAATTATATCCCTGTGTCTGCTACTGATCCTGAACTCTTCAATTTTGTATACATTCTTAATAATCTTACGCGCTTACGCGATTATTATACAATCGAGTTAGTGTGGCTATAAATGATAATATAATTTATATATTTATAATCAAGTTATCAAATATGTTAATATAAAGTTACAAAATGCAAACTTTCTAGTTGGCACGTTGTTGGTACATACAATATACATATATTGTTGATAATAAATAGAAATGTCGTTAGTGCCCCAAGGAAAAAAAAAACGATCAAGATGCTAAACTCGACAAACATTGCGCAATTTCACGTCGCGTACGCATATCATATTTTGTTTGCACGCTATTATATCGCGATGGGAGAAAGGTAAAGGGAATAATTCTGTTTATTTCTCTATTTTAGTCCAAGCAGTACGGCGCTGGGTTCGCTGGACCAATTGAAGGAGTATCTAACAACAGTGGGAACCTGCAAATGCGGTCTCGAGTGCCCGCTCAGACCCGAACAGGTCTTCAACTTTGATCCCAAGGTAAGTGGAAAATTGGAGAAACTTTTATTAAAGTTTTTGTTTTATTTCTCTAAAGGAAAAGAAACGCTTTTAAAGAAATATGATAGAATAAGATTATTTTTTATTTAAATATAATATTATATACATTATTAAATTATTAAAATTTATATTTCTTTGGTTTCAAACAAAGTTTTGAGTACAACCGAGAAATTGCACAAAAAAAACACGGTTTAAGAGATTCTATTAATTAATGAAGACGTATTTAATTAAAGTCACAGACTATAAATTCAAAAGTTTTTTAACTCTGTTGAAAAAAATTTATTTTACATATTCAGTAATTTAAAACTGCGAATATCACACATTTGAAGAGGAAACGAGTGCTTCCTTATGTTTCTCTACTTCCAAGATGCACGAGATGCGTGACAGTCGAGCGGTTAAAATCTTTCTCGATTTCACATCCCAATTACATTCTCGTTTCGTAGTAAATGAGCCGTGGTTGTTGCTCCTGTCGCAATCGGCGGAGAGAAATCTTCAGAGTTGACGCGAGTCAATACATCGGCCTGTCGCATGACGAGTCCGATGCAAAAAAAAAAAACGCGTGATGTGCATGCGCATGCATAGGCGGTGACGCGCTTAATCGGTGAAACACTCATTACACTTTATCCTTTTACCGTTTGTGCCGTCGAGAGAGTTATTCCGACGTGTCTCGCCACGGCGAAAGTTCACAGAGGAGTACATACAACCTGCATATAACTGAATGCATCTGTGAAAGCGCGAGCGTTAATCATGCTTAATCGCCGTCGGCGATTAGGCGCCGTTTATTTATTTATCGTGCGCGAGCGCACGTAATTGGCGCGCGCTTTCCGTTCATACAATCCCGTGAAACTCGTGACTTACCGGGAATAAAATATCGCTATTGTGCGTGCGGGCAATGACCTCTCGCCGACAAATATCGCGGCGCAATTTTATTTTTCCTCGAACCGATCGGAAAGTATGACTCTTTCTCGCGACAATTAAAAAGATCATTTGCCATGAAAAAGTATCGCGGTCAAAATGTGCCGATGCAAATTTAACAATAAGAAAAAATTTCGTTTTCAAAATCTTAAGTCGCAGTTCCTTTTATGTATAAGCGAATAGAAGAATATAATCTGGATAATATAATATATTGATTTATATATTTATGTAATAAAAGCTGAAGGAAAGATAATAATACTTTAGCTGTAAAATATGATCAGATTGTTCTTGTCATCTTTTTCACAAAAGCAAGCTTGCTTTTGTGAAAAAGATGGCAAAAAGTACTTGATAATATTTTATAGCCCGACTGTGTTATGCTTCAAAGTTGAAAAAGTGAGCGTTTAATGTCGCATTTAATCAGAAATGAAAAATAGAAGCAAAACGTTGTTGATATAGTTTTTAATAATTCCTTTATTATGTTATAGACTTAAAATATTAATTACGGGTATTAATAAATAAAGCAGGCCTTTCTTGTTTGTTGCTTAAAAATAACAAGATGCCTTAGAGATCTAGGAAGAAATATTACTGTCGGGCAGTTAACAATGGTATCTTATTGAGCGCTATCATTTCTTGGCAATCTAATGTTCTCTCGATTCGATTAAAGACGGTTTCTCTCTCTCTCTCTCTCTCTTTCGTTTCGAATTTATAGAAACGACGATGAATCACGTCACCGTGGAAACCGTTCCGGAAAATCGTACTTCTCACGAAACATCGCCGCGTACAAAGCGTTGATCCGGCGCTATTTCTGCCACGCGGCTGCCGTAAATACGTAATTTTTCTTACTTCCGCTATTTAGATATTTATGGTACATTCGCGAGAGCGAACGCGAGGCGGCACGTATCTCGGCCCGTGCCAACCATCTCGAAGAAATATCGCGATTGTGCGTGCCAACGATCGCGGCTTATTAAGAAATATCGCGCTCCGAGCACATTGTTCTTTCGAAATGAAATGTGTGCTTCTGAAAAGAGGGGTAGGATGGTGTATATTTCTTTACGATGATAAACCGATAGCACCGACGTCTAGATTTCATCCTTAATTGGACCATCACCGAATTGTTTTGTCGAGATCGTCGATAAATATAATCGCGCCTTCAATTCCGCGAAATTAATTATAGAAATATCGATAATAGGAAGGAAGAGAGAGGTATAATAAGGTTAATTTCGTGTCGGGTTTCCGCACACATAAATTAAAGATTCAGGAAAATACTGGACTCACTCGGTGGATGGCGGAAGGAGACGACGTTTCGAAGGGAGAGAGAGAAAGAGACAGAAGAGACTCATCAGTTTTGCTTAATTATTCCGGTAGCATGCGACGATATACGAGGAAAACGTATAATTATCCGTGCACCTGCTTGCTAACCACTCACTCAACCGCTGCTGCTCGCCGTTCTGTACCCGGTGCATCGTCGGTGCGTTAATACGTTTCCTAATTAAAGTTTATCATGTTTCACCGATCTGAGGAGAGAGACTCCACCGCGATCCGGTCCATCGTGTCGACGACATGACGATCAACATGCTAATAATTAATAATCATTTGCATATCTCTAATACTGCAACACGAATACGATATGCATCAGCTTTATCTTACGGGTATAACTTGCGATTATCGTTGACATTTCTCGTTGCTACCATTGATTCGCATACCAGGATTCTTCGAAAAGTGAGGAATGTAAAATCGATAATTTCGTTAATCGTGCAACATAACCGATAATCATTGTCATTTATATCCCGATTTAAGAGCGAGAAATACATGTATATATATATATATATATATATATATATATATATATATATTCACATATTTGTATATATTTTTAATATATTAATAAGAATATTAATTTTATATATACACATTAAAAATAATTAAAAAAAAATATATATATATATATATATATATTAATGTATTATTAAAAATAGTGAGATTTGTATAAATTCAAACGTGAAATTTCTACTTTTAGAACGTACATATATATTTCAATTGTATTGAAAAGTTTAAAATAATATGTGGCACAATTGTACCAAGATATCTGATATCTTGGATATATTTCTTCAAACATCTCGCGCGAGCAAAATAGATTATCTTTTAGCATTCTCCGAGGAACGGACGATATCGTGGCATCTATAATGCAAACTCGTCTGGACAATAGCACTCGAGTACTCATCCATCCCGAACAAGAAGAGAGGACTCTGGTGAAGAAGTGCGCGGATTGTCGAGTGAAATCGGCACGATGCCCGGGCACTTTGCGCTGCATCTCGAAATGCATCTCGCGTTGGTTCGCGACCAGTCAGCCTCTCGAATCGCGACTCGCGACGACACGAGATTATTATGGTAATTGGGCAGCATTACTCATGGCCCCGTCTCCCACACCGTGCGCCTTTTTACCAAGATCTCGATGCAAATCGGACAGTTGAAACGCTCGGACGTGTATTAAGTAGTTGGAACAAATAAGGATTATATTCGAGGAAATGCAAAATTATATATTTCTCTCGCACGGGGAATTATATTTTATTATCTTTCATCTTTTTATTTTGAGGATATTAATTTTCGGTCCATATTCGACAAAATTATATATTTCTCTCGCACGAGAAATTATATTTTATTATCCTCTTTTATTTTGAAGATATTAATTTTCGGTCCATTAATTTAATTCATAACGATATATCGATTAAGTTTCCTACTCGGAATAACATGTAGATAGACTTTGTCTCTCTTTCTCGCTAATACATACATATATTAAATAAATATATTTTTAATCATCTACTTAGAATTGGCCGTCCTTGACAAAAAAATATGATGGCGAGCAGACACAAAACGTTTCACGTATCTGACACAGGCCAAGTAATATCGGAACAGGCCGCGATAATGAATCGGTTTCGCGATATACGTAGCTCGATGTAATGTCTTTCTCATGCGATCGCTCCTGAGGCGCATTTACGAGCAACGCACACGTTTACGACGCGCGTCCGTGAGTATCTCCACCTGCATTAATCAGGCAGCGTAACTATCGGGTCGATCTCTCACGGTCTATACCATCTGCCGGAGACAGCAGCCTTAACGTCTCTCTACGGACCTTTGATTTGGCTCGATTCTTTATCGCCCCCGCGCTACCGGCTCTTGGCCAGCCGGGTTCCCTTCTTTCTGCCTTTTCTCCCGATGCTCCTTTTGTAACTGCCGACGTTTCCGCCTATTGTTGCGCATACAACGGCGCGAGAAATCGTCGATGCGGGGAACGATTCCTCCGGTTTCCCGCGGCCGTATCCTTCGAAATGCTATCGCGCAAACGAGCATCGTGTCCGTGAACTCGGCGCGAGGTTCAGTACCTCTGTGGAAACATTTTTTTACAACTTTGAAGACCGCGAGATCATCGGGCGAGCACGTGACGCTTCCTTACCTTCGCCCTATCTATATATTGTTCTATTTAATCGACGTTTAATCAAAACAGACGTAATGGGCGTGAAAGAGGGCTGCGCGTAGCGATATAATTCTCTACGAGTGGCATAATTAACGCGCGAAATAAATTACGCTCCCCCTATTACCATCGGGACGTAATGGCATTTCGGCACTTGGAAGTCAGTATGAAGTTCCTGTTTGTCGTGAGTCTATCCAGCCTGTGTTTCGAGGCGTTAGTTTATGAAGTTGTTGCTATCCATTATCGCTTTCAGGAACGGCAGGATGAGTCTCGGGTGTGTCTCGACGAATGTATTAGGCGCTCTCTTGAGCTCGCGCACGAGTTGCATCGTGCAACAAAAGGGGTAAAGCGAGTACCCTTTTATTACACCAAGCCCGTCTCGCTTAAGCCCGTGCGTAAAGTAATTTGCCTTAATGAATTTGCATCTTCTCCTTCTATCGCGCGCCTTCCCGTCTCGTTTCTCCGGCTTGCATTTTTGATTCGCAATTAAGCGCCAGTTAACTCCGTCCGGGAAAGAAATCTCAATGAAAATGTTTTTCACGGGTTGCTGGCTACTCAACCACTCAGCTTTTGCGAAAGAATACGCTTAATCTATTGC